ATGGAGATATGTGCAAGCATGCTAGATGCATTGAACGAATGTGTACAGGTTTGTGCTATTATTAAATGAAGATAGTTTTGTATTGTCTATTCTGTTCACTGTTATTTGTTTGAAGTTATTCTGCTTTGGATGAATTTTGTTGGGCAACAGATGGTTATAAGCAAAAAGTGTTGATAAATAAATTAGAACTAGAATGCTTACTTTAACTTAATATGGCATTTTGATATCAGCTAATAATTTGAACTAATGACTGAATTTTAACCTGATGTGTCTGTTAAAAACTGCATCCTAGTATTGTCTTGGGCTGTTTCTGATCCCTTGTTTCCTTTTCTTTTGGTCGATTCGTGACCTTTGTCTTTTATTCATTTTAGTTCACATGCATCAGTGTACCTTTGACAAATGTTCTGTGGGTTGATCTAATTCTCTTTGCTGTTGCCATTGTTTATAATATGTATTAATTACCAGGTCTTACATTCCAATGTCTGAGAATTCGTTTCTTTCAGATCTCTGGTCCTCTTCTAGATGAAAGTCAGGTTAGATCTGTTGTGGATGAGGTCAAACAAGTAATTACAGCTAGTGCGAGCAGAAAACGTGAGAGAGCTGAAAGAGCCAAAGCTGAAGACTTTGATGCTGAGGAGGGAGAGTTAATTAAAGAGGAAAATGAGCAAGAGGAAGAAGTTTTTGACCAAGTAAGTCTTACAATAAAATCTATATTTGATACAGCACATAAATACTGAGCAATATTTTTTTACCTTTCTTTTTTCTGTTGCAATCCATTAAAACCTCTTATTTCTTGCGTTAACGAGCATTCTGCTTCCAGGTGGGTGAAATCTTGGGAACTTTGATCAAAACGTTTAAAGCCTCTTTCTTGCCTTTCTTTGATGACCTATCTCCATATCTTTCACCTATGTGGGTAAGTTCAAGGCAAGTTGTTTCTGGTTCCAAAATCAGTCGTTAAGGAACATCCTGAATAAAAAATTTCTTTCCAGAAGTATGCTCATCTCTATCTTCTTCTAAAATACAGGGAAAAGAAAAGGCAGCCGAAGAAAGAAGAGTTGCAATTTGTATTTTTGATGATGTTGCGGAACATTGTCATGAAGCAGCTTTAAAGTAAGCTGCCTACTTTAATATACTAATTATTATCATAGAGAATCATTTGATGCAATTACTGTAATGTGTTTGAAACAGATATTATGACTCGTATCTTCCATTCTTATTGGAGGCTTGCAGGGATGAGAACCCAGATGTGCGACAGGTCTGTATTTTTCTTACTTCTGGCATCCAAAGCACCAGTAATTGTTGAGATTGTAATCAATTTTATGATTTATGTTCAGGCAGCAGCATATGGACTTGGTGTTTGTGCGGAATTTGGGGGACCTATATTCAAGCCACTTGTTGGAGGTAAATATTTGCAGGATAGTCTCCTAGGTGTTTATTTCTTGTAAGAATTAACATTATTTGTGACTTCTTCCAGAGGCTTTAGCAAGGTTAAATGCTGTAATACGACATCCTAATGCTTTGCTACCTGAAAATGTCATGGCCAATGATAACGCTGTTTCCGCTTTAGGAAAACTATGTCTGTTCCACCGCGACAGTATTGATGCAACTCAGGTATGGCAGGCAATAAAAATAGCTTTCCAAGTTAATTAGACCTTTTGATACGGAAGGAGAAATCTGTCGTGTGCATTAAAACACATATCAGATTTCTGAGCTATTGTGTTAAGTCCCCAAATTTATGTTCTTGTTAACACAAGTGTCAATTATTATTACTTTTAGATATTCTACAACTACAGATTGATTTTAGTAGTTGTGTATTTACAAAGTAGCTGGTTGCTCTTGTTTTCTTGATGTTGATTTGCCTTGAACATACATCCCCTTTGTATTGTGTAGGTTGTTCCTGCATGGTTAAACTGCCTGCCAATCAAAGGTGATCTGATTGAAGCCAAAGTTGTTCATGAACAACTTTGTTCAATGGTTGAGAGGTAATATCGGCCTTTTATTATCGAACTGTACTGATCCCATTTTTGAAGTTCATTTCCCCCTCAATATGTTGTTACTGCCCATGATATAACAATATATCTAATGTGCGTTCAGATCGGACAATGAAGTTTTGGGTCCCAATCATCATTTCCTTCCAAAGATTGTCTCAGTATTTGCGGAGGTAAAAAAATTTTCATGTCACTTAATCTTTAACCTAAAGGCGATTGCTATTTGAATTGTTTGTTCTGAATTCTGTCGTGCTCGGTTCTTATTTATCTGGTAGTTCGACTTTAGAGTGCCATTCGATGAACCATATACTATTTTGTAGGTTTTATGTGATAAGGATCTAGCCACCGAACAAACAGCAAGCCGGATGGTGTATCTACTGAAGCAGCTTCAGCAGACTTTGCCACCAGCAGCATTGGCCTCAACTTGGTCATCTTTGCAGCCGCAACAACAGCTCGCTTTGCAGTCCATCCTCTCCACATAGTTAGGTACATATGCTTGACTGGCATCTCATGTGTCGAAGCATATTTATATACGGTATTCTTTTTCGGACATTTTTGCGTGATGTTCGATTCGCAAGGCAGCAAAGGAGGTTTGATCTGAGGGTGAAGAAGTCATCAGTGATTGAGATTAAATTTATTTGATTTTATTATAGAGTGAGCGTGCATAGTATAAGGTATCTATTTGTGCAATGTTCTTGATGCAGTTTTGTTCTTGTGTGTTTCTTCGTTTCAGTTTTTCATAGATTTCCCGATTTGGATTTGTAATTCTTTCATTATATTGCAATTTTGATCATTAATAATATAATTGCTTGTCGTTTTTCTCATATTTAACGTTTTTTTTTCTTACAATATAATTGAGGTCAGCTTAAAGATATTAGGGTAAATTACTTGTTTTTTACCTAAACTGTCAGTTTTGATATGTTTTAGTACTTAAATTTTCAATTTTATTCAAATTCATGCTTAAAATTTTAGTTTTTGTTTCATTTTAGTATCCATAATCAAAATTTAACGTTATGTTTTGAAGAAAATTTGAAATTTTAGGTATTAATACAGATCAAAACCTACAGTTTAAGTACTAAATATAATAAGCTTTTAATAGTGAGATATTAAAATGAAACAAAAATTAAATATTAGGTATGATTTTGAAAAATTGACAATTTAGGTATTAAAATGGATCAAAATTGATAGTTTTGGTACTAAATGCATAGTTTACCCAAGATATTATTATTGTTTTGTCATGTTTGTATTAGTTGATCAAAATTTAAAGTTAAAATGATAAATTTAAGGGGCCAAAAAGATTTTTTTTCCATTATACACATAAGATAGAAAGAATTAAACCTAAAAAATGCATGTAATCGTTATATTACATTTACTCGTTTTTTGTCAAGAAAAATATGTACACACTATGTTTTATTAAACTTACTAAACAGCATTAAATTATATTAGTAGTTTGGTTTCTTCCTCTTTGGATCCTTCCAAAGGGTGAATTCTGTTGTAGTGGGAGGCTACTTTCTCCAAGTGTCATCCCCCTGACAAAATCTCAAATGATTTGGTCAACCCAACCTTGAGATTTGAGTCACCAACAATGGAACATATAATAATGCCCAACATGCAGACAACAACGAGAGACAACCCTCCCACCACTTAAAAAACCCTAATACCCTTGATATAAAAGCCAAACCCAAGGTTTGCAAATTGAAGGAGCACCATTCTCTCCAATGGAACACCACCGAGCTCAATGCCAGCCGAAGGGCAAACTGTAGGAGAGATTTGCTGCAGGTAGGACTTAGGAGGAACAAGTTCGTCGGTGTGAGGCAGAGGCCTTCGGGGAAATGGGTTGCCGATATCAAGGACACGACTCAGAAGATAAGGATGTGGTTGGGGACGTTCGAGACGGCCGAGGAAGCCGCTTGCCTTCTCTGGGGTTCGAATACGCGGACCAATTTCGTGACTCATGTTCCGACAGACTCCCGTCTCTAGTTGAAGATTAGGAACCTGCTTGATCATAAGAAGAGTTTAAGGCAAGGGACTTGTAATAATAACACCAACTCCAACAAAATCACGATTAAGGCAAGCACTGTGGTTAGCATCAACGGCGGTATCAGTAATGCCGGTAGCGCTGGTAGCGCTGCGTTCCTCACCGGGGATGATGGTTTTACATGTAACTAAATCCAGATGTTTGATGGCGCGTACAGGCCGGAGTTGAGCGACTTTCCCGGGGAATTTGAACCGGCCACGTCACAATTCAGTCAAGTCTGGCCTGTTGAAACAGGGTTTGATCAGATTGCATTAAGCCAAGGAATGGAGATGCCACAAGATGCTGGTCTTTTTCCTCAAGGAATTCATCAGGAGCTTCAGGAATTCGAACGCTTGAAGGTAGAAAGACAGATATCAGCAAATTTATATGCAATGACTGGGGTGAATGAGTACCTTCAGATTTCATTCGATCCAAATGATGCTATCTGGGATCTTCCATCGCTTTGCCACTTTTCTGCCGTAGCTGATTCTGTCTTTTTTACCGTCAAAGACTGTAACTTGTGGTTGTCTGTTCCTAGTGTTTGCTTTAGAAAGAATTTGAAACAACAATTTTCACTGCTTGAAATGAAAATCACTACTGTTTCAGTTATACACCATGTGGTAGGACGAAATTACGAACTCCGAATATGAACCATAAAACAGATAATGAAGTCCGAATATGCATCGCCTAACCCTTTCTTCACTTATATTTGAGTACGAGTGTCAAATACGAATATACGACAGAACTAAACAAGAAGACAGAATGGTAGATTATAAGCCAATTCATTGCTCATGAAACATATAGACAGAATAACAGACAACATTTATAACAAAATAACATTGAACAGTTAACGCAACTGTAGATGTTACTTCATGGATGGCATTGAAGGCAAGATTGTGTAAGGAAAATAAACATTTAACACACAGGAAGATAAAACGATAGTAAGGCACCGGAAAGGGGGTGGGAATACCCTCCGACGATGAATGGATCTTCGATGTAAATATCTTTGCGTGAGAACATCAATAGTCTTAGGCATCCTCTTCGTCGTCAACACCTTCAGCACCGACTTCTTCGTAATCTTTTTCCAGAGCAGCCAGATCCTCAAGGGCTTCGGAGAACTCACCTTCTTCCATGCCCTCACCAACATACCAATGCACAAAAGCTCTCTTTGCGAACATGAGATCGAACTTGTGGTCGATGCGTGCAAACACCTCGGCCACTGCTGTGTTGTTGCTTATCATGCAAACAGCTCGCTGCAGCTTAGCGAGATCGCCTCCGGGTACGACAGTTGGGGGCTGATAGTTAATACCACATTTGAAGCCAGCCGGGCACCTGCGCAGCCAAACAAAAATGCTTCGTTAACCCCTTAGCATTCCATAACCTCCTACAGAACAAAACCTAGATATACGAAATTCTCTTTACCAGTTAACGAACTGCACGGTCCTCTTCGTTTTGATAGTAGCAACAGCTGCATTAACATCCTTGGGTACGACATCTCCTCGATACATGAGGCAGCATGCCATGTAGTTCCCATGCCTAGGATCACACCTAGCCATCATGCTCGAGGGCTCAAACACAGAACTCGTGATCTCGGGAACAGATAATTGCTCGTGGTACGCTTTCGAGGCCGAGATAACAGGTGCATACCAGGAGAGCATGAAATGGATACGAGGGTATGGAACCAGATTGGTTTGAAACTCCGTAACATCCACATTTATGGCTCCATCGAACCTCAAGGAAGTCGTAAAGGACGATATGATCTGAGATATTAAACGGTTCGAGTTGGTGTAAGTTGGCCTCTCGATATTGAGCGACCGGCGGTAGATGTCGTAAATCGCCTCGTTGTCCAAGAGCACAGCCACATCAGTGTGCTTGAGAAGGGAATGAGTAGACAGAACGCTGTTGTAAGACTTATTTAGGCAACTAATCTTGAAAAATTAAAAAAATGGGTAAATTACAAATTTCATCACTGAACATTATTCACTCTCCTATTTTACACTGAACTTTACTCACTCTACTATTTTGCATTGAATTTTAAAGTTTTCAATTTCCTCATTGAACTTAATACTTTAGATTTTGTTTCACTGAACTTTACTCTCTCTCTCTCTCTCTCCTATTTTCCCATTCTGTTGTTAAATAATTAACAACGTTAAAAACGACACCGTTTAAAAAAATAAAATTTTCAACAAAACGTCTTTTTTTTAGATAATTCAAATTCATTAATCCAAAGAATGCAAAAAAACTGCAACAAACAACCAAAACTGGAAGATTAACTAAATCCCTCAAGCAACACACAACCTATCATTAATCACATCCACTCTATTTACACTATAATGTTGTAAACGAATACCTACAACAGACCTGATACAAGTAACAATCTCCTTAATAGAACCTACAATTACGTTCTTCCCCAATGAAATAAAGAAACCCTATCCAAGCAAGATTAAGAATACAAACAATAAGGGATTTACCCATCAAGCTATCAATAACCCAACTTACAACATCATCCTATTCATAATGCCTAGTATGCAAACAGAAGAGTTGAAGCATTCTATCCCAAACTCTGTTAGCAAAAGAGCAGCCCATGAACAAATGGTCCCTCGACTCAACGACATCACCATTACACAGCAAACATCTTACATCCGTATCCACACCCATACGAGCCAACCTGTTCAAAAATATCATCCAAGCCACAATGGAGAGCTTTGGAATGTGATATGGAAACCACACAACTTTATGCCTTCACACCCTCTCCCTCTGTTCCCAAATGTAGTCCCAAATACATTTGCAATTTATTACAACCCAATTCACATTAGCTCAAAACATACTCCTAGCCTCTCATCTCAAACCAAGCAGCTTCTTATAGTCCAGCTATAATGAGGCTTACTTCAACCTGCCAAAATGCAACTCCTTTAAATACATAGCTAACCAAGCAACCCATAAAGAGCCCTCCCCTGCAAGAATAAATATAATCAAGATGAAGCTGCAAGTTCTATTCCAACATAGTAAACTACTAACCCTCAAGCCTTCATCAGATTTGAGAGTGCACACTTTCTGCCAACATACACGAGCCACCTTTCCAAAAGAATCTCATGCACATATGTTTAAACTTTCTAATCACCACCTTAAGCAGAAGAACTTGCATACACAAATAATTTGAAACACTAAACAAAACGGCTTTAATCAATTGAAGCCTACTACCATAACTAAAGACCATCCTAGACCAAGCCCTAAGCTTATCCCCTATCTTACACAACAAAGGATAACAATCTTTTTCGTTAAATTTCCTTGTCACCAAAGGAATTCCCATATATCTTACTGGCAAATTTTCATGTTTAAAACCATTCAACCTACAAATATCAGCAAGCTCACCCCCTCAGACCACAAGCAAAAAAATCAGTCTTGCTCGCATTAAGGCTCAAGCCAGACATCAGATAGAACTGCTTTGGCACACTCAAGTACCCTATAATAGAATCCAATGAACCATGATAGAAGATGAGCAAATTATCAGCTAAACATAAATATGTCAGAGGAAGCCTCCTACACTTAAGGTGAAATCTAAAGACACCCTATTGGGCAGTCATATCCAACAATCAAGAAAGAACATTGATCGCTAAAACAAAGAGATAAGGAGACAAAGGATCCCCTTGCCTCACACCCCTAGCACGCCTAAAGAAGCCAAACAAGTGCCATTAAAAGAAACCAAAAATCTAGGGCAGTGAGACATGCCTGAATCTGCCCCTAAACACTTCAGGCAAGCCTATAACCTCTAGCACATTCATCAAAAAATTCTAATCGACAGAGTCAAAGGCCTTCCTTAAATCAACTTTAATGGTACAACTTGGGGAAAGAGACTTCCTAGAATAACCCTTGACAATCTCCTAGGCCAATAGAGTATTATCCACAATACTTCTCCCTTTAATGAATGTTGATTGATTGGGCATAATTATTCCAGGAAAATACACTACTAATATTGACACCAGAATCCTAGTAACAATTTTATAGACAACTGAACAGTAGGATATAGGCCTAAAGTCTCGAGCCATACAAGCACTAGGGGACTTTGGTACTAGCACAATCGCAGTTACATTAAAAGCTAGTAGCATAACAAAAGAATGAAAAAATATCTAACAACATCAATGAAATCTACCTTAACAATCTCCCAGGCATACTTGAAGAACCAAGCAGTATACCCATCAAGTCCTGGGCTTTTATCATTGCCTTACCAGAATAAAGTCACCCTAATATCCTCTTCAATTACATCTTTAACCAAATCCTTAGCAGCCCCAGCAGGAAGAACATATTGCAACAAATCCTGCAATTGCTCAACCATAAAACCATGAACATCTGGATCAACAGTACTAATAAGATCAGTAAAGAACCTAACCATTTCTCCTAACATCTCCTCAAAAGTTTCCAATCGATCCCCTACATCAATCTTCATCAATCTTATTGTATTATGCTTCATCTTCTCCAAAACAGTGGAACGGAAAAATTTTGTTCCCATATCTCCCTCCCTCAACTACTGAATTTTAGCTTTCTATATGTAGAAGGCAATCTCAGCTTTTTCAAGCTCGATCGGCTCAGCTTGAACCTGTTGCTCTCTCACAATATCACTCTGATCTACATGAGAAAGATTAAATAATTGTAGTTGCTCTAAAAGTTGCCTCTTCTCAACCACACGAGCAGAAATCTCAGCATAACAACTCTTATTCTGCTCCTTCAACACATGCTTAAGCCTCTTCATTTTCAAAAACAGTCTCTGCATTGGATCCCCAGAAACCTCAACAAGCCAAGAAGGCTAAAAAATATCGTCATACCCCACATTAGCATTCTAAAAATTAAAAAAAAAACAGCTTAGGTCTACTAGCTTGATTATCCTTATGAGACCAAACAATGCCAGGGCAGTGATATGACGCCCCTAGAGCTTAGAATTCAACAAAAGAATCAACAAAGGACTACATCCAACTATGATTAATCAAAACTCGATCCAACTTTCGGGCCAAAACCCCCTTAACCTGCTTATTAGTCCAAGTAAATTCAGGGCCCGAGAAAGGGTTATCCACAATGACCAAATCATCCTTACATCTAACAAATTATTCTATTTCAGCGGTAGGATGAGACCCAACAGTCTCAAAGTCAGAGCTTGCTTCCACTGAAGCAATGACATTGAAATCGCCACCAATAATCCAAGCCTCACACCCAATAATACCTTGAAGCTCACACAATTGACTCCAAAGTCTCCTACAATCAGTACCATGATTACTTCCATAGACATCGGTAATAAACACTCTATGCCCAGAGATAATTCCCATAACAGACAAAGATTGATCATTCTCTCTAACAACATCAAAATTGAATTCTTTCCTCCATAAAACCTGTTGACGAAAACGGGTAAAGAAAACGAAAGAACACGAGAATTTTACGAGGTTCGGCAATGTGCTTACTTCCTCGGTGCCTAGGCGGCGCTAGAATTTTTATTCAATGATCTTTTAGGTCTAGGTTACATCTCTATTTATAATAGAAAACCCTGGTACATAATTACAAAATTAACCCTGTACCGTACCGCGGGGGCTGCGCCCCTGCACCCCCAACCCACATAATTTGTAACCCCACAACGAGACTTTCTTTGTAAGGACAGTTGATGTTCGCTTTGCTCACTCCGCTCCATCTCCTGTCCTCTTTACTGGTATATTTATGAGCCATACCTAACAAATCTCCACCTTGGCGAATATCCTGCCCCTTGGAAACTTCAATGTGGGTTGGGTTACCTTGCTTCTTTAACAACTCGAAACATTCAACAAGTCCAAGCAATGCTTGAACTTGTCTGTCGTAACTGGCTTGGTGAACATATCAGCGGCATTCTCATCAGTATGTACCTTCTGAAACAAAACCTCTCCAGATGCAACCAACTCTCTGATCTTGTGGAACCTTACATCAATATGTTTAGTTCTAGCACGATACACCTGATTCTTAGCCAAGTGAATAGCACTTTGATTATCACAAAGCAACTGAACTCCACCTTGTTGAACACCCAACTCCTTCACTAAACCAGTAAGCCATAAAGCTTCTTTTGCACCTTCAGCCGCTGCCATGTATTCAGCTTCAGTTGTAGATAGTGCCACGACAGATTGAACAGTAGACTTCCAACAAATAGGCCCTCCACCAAGAGTAAACACATACCCTGTCGTAGATCTTCTATTATCCACGTCGCCTGCATAATCTGAATCCACATATCCTACAACCAAAGGATTATCCCGCTGACTCCCAAAAATAATTCCATGTCCCACAGTACCCTTTAAGTACCGAAAGATCCACTTGACTGCATCCCAATGTTGCTTACCAGGTTTAGACATGTACTTACAAACTTGACTAACAGCATGAGCTAAATCAGGACGAGTACATACCATCGCATACATCAAGCAGCCAACAACATTAGAATACGGAACCTTTGCCATATTTTCAGCTTCCTTATCTGTCTTAGGGCACTGTTCTGATGAGAGCTTAAAGTGATTCGCCAATGGAGTGCTAACTGGTTTCGCGCTGCTCATCGCAAACCTTTATAGCATTTTCTCAACATAACCCCGTTGAGATAGCCGCAGTTTCCTTGAGTCTCTGTCCCTGCAAATTTCCATTCCAAGAATTTTCTTTGCAGCACCTAAATCTTTCATATCAAATTCCTGACTCAATAAAGTTTTCAAACCGATAACATCATCCATGTTCTTCGCAGCAATCAACATATCATCAACATACAGTAATAGAAAAATAAAAGAACCATCATCAAGGCTCTTAACATAGACACAACAATCATACTCACATCGGTTGTAGCCAATCTTGATCATATAGGAGTCAAACCGTTTATACCACTGTCTCGGAGACTGTTTTAACCCGTACAAAGATTTCTTCAATCTGTAAACTAAATGCTCGTTTCCAGGTTGAGTGAAACCTTCAGGTTGCCGCATGTAGATCTGCTCCTCTAAATCACCATGCAAAAAAGCAGTTTTAACATCCATCTGCTCTAAATGCAAATCCCAACTAGCCACCAATGCAAGTACTGCTCGGATTGAAGTGTGCCTGACCACAGGAGAAAAGATTTCATCATAATCAACTCCTTTCTGCTGTGAAAAACCCTTCGCTACCAAACGAGCCTTGAACTTCTCCCCCTCTTGTTTTGTTACTGTTGGTTTCTTCTTATACACCCATTTGCAACCAATCGGCTTCTTACCCTCAGGAAAGGGAACTAGCTCCCATGTGCGATTGTGATTCAAAGACTCCATCTCCTCAACCATGGCTGCCATCCACTTGTCGTTTTCCTAACTAGTAACGGCATCATGAAAAGTAACTGGATCATCACTGCTAACAGTAAGTGCAAAATATACCAAGTCTTCAAAACCCAATCTGTTCGGAGGCTTTATATTCGTCCGTCTCACCCTGTCTCTGGCGAGACTATAATCCTGCAAATCATCCGTAGTGGAACCACCAGAAGTCGGTTGAGAAGTTTCTGGTTTCTCAACTGGAAACTGCTCGAAATCTACCACTGTCGTGTCTTGCTTCTGCTGCAACATAGACTGTTCATCAAAAACGACATCTCTACTAATCACAACTTTCTTCGCAACTAGATCCCAGAACTTGAATCCTTTGACACCTTTCTTGTAACCCAGAAAAATGCACTCCTTCGATTTTGCATCAAGTTTGGATCTCTCATCAGCAGGTACATGCACATAAGCAGGACAACCAAAAATCCGTAAGTTATCAAAAATAACATCATGACCAGTCCATACCTCTTCTGCAACTTTCCCAGCCAGCGATGCCCTTGGCGATCTGTTGATAAGGTAACACGCCATGTTAACAGCCTCAGCCCAGAAGTGTTTGGGAAGCCCCGCATTCAACAGCAAACATCTGGCTCTTTCATTCAACGACCTGTTCATTCGTTCCGCAACACCATTCTGTTGTGGTGTCTTGCGCACTGTAAAATGCCTCTGAATCCCATGCTCCTTACAGAATTGTAGGAACTGTGAATCTGTGTACTCCGTACCATTGTCAGACCGCAAACACTTGATTTTTCGTCCTGTTTGGTTTTCTACCTCAGCTTTCCACAGCTTGAACTTCTCAAAAACTTCAGATTTCTGTTTCAAAAAATACACCAAAACTTTCCGTGAAAAATCATCAATAAAAGTAACATAGTACCTAGATCCACCCAAAGACGATGTCGTGGAAGGCCCCCATACATCAGAATGCACATAATCAAGAATCCCTTGAGTTGTGTGCTTCGCAGTCTTGAAACGGACTTTAGTCTGTTTACCAAGAACACAATACTTGCAAAAATCGAGCTTACAGCTTTTGACACCATGCAACAAGTTTCTCTTGTGTAATTCTGCCATACCACGTTCACTAAGATGAGCAAGGCGCATATGCCATAATTTTGTTGTATCATCACAGGACTCAACAGAGTGAACTCCACCTGCAACGGTACTCCCTAACAATCTGTAGATATTCCCTGCAGTCATCTTGCCTTTCATCACAGTCAATGCTCCTTTAACAATCCGAATGGTTTCCCTATCCTCGTCAGCCTTAGGGATAAAACCATTCTTGTGCAAAGTGCCCAAGGAAATCAAATTCTTCTTCAAGTCTGGGATATGTCGAACACCTCTCAACGTCCGAACGGAGCCATCGTGCATCTTTATTCTGACATCACCAATACCAACAATATTGCAACATCGATCATCACCCAAATAAACCGAACCAGAATTAACCGGCCTGTATGTCGAAAACCATTCCCTATTTGGCGTGATGTGATAAGAACATCCAGAATCAAGAATCCAAGCATCCGTCAATTGTGTCGTTGAAATAGAAAGCATATCACCCTCACTGCAATCAGAAGTATCATCCTCGACCACGTTTACAGACTTGGATGAGCCATCACGCTTCTCATCAGTCTGCTTTTTCAACTTCGGACAGTCTCGCTTCATATGTCCCGCCTCCTTGCACTTGTAACAGTGAATCGTCTTCTTATCCCTGGATTTGGATCTGGAATTCCGCTTCCCGGACCCTGCCTTCTCTAGCTTCCGTCCACGATCTCGATTACCCTTGACATATAAGCTATCGGCTTGAGAGCTTTCCCCTGCATTCTGCTTCCGCTGGTTGTGAGCCAACAAGGCTGCAGTAATCTCCTCAACGTTGATAGTCTCTTTCCCATATGTAAGAGTAGTCACCATGTGTTCGTAAGAGGAAGACAGAACACAACAGAATCATCGCTCTGTCTTCATCCTCAATTTTCACATCAAGCCGAGCCAGATCAGAAACGATTTGATTGAAGACATTCACGTGTTGCGCCAAATCGTGATCGTCCTGCATCTTCAGCCCATACAGCCGCTGCTTCAGATACAGTTTTGTCGTTAAGGATTTGGACATAAACTGACTTTCCAACTTCCTCCAAATTTCGTCTGGAGACGATAGATGCATGACGTGATACATGACCTCGTCCGCCAAGCATAATCGTATGGTTCC